GGAGAGACGAAACGTTTCATTAGAGAAGAACCCGTCCAGAAGACCTATACAATTTTTTTCTTTTTAATAAAAAACCTGTCTAATCATTGCAGACAAAGACCTTGTTTTATTATTTTTACCTTATAAAAAGCTGTTTATATCTCCATGGTCACGGGTTGCCACTACAGGCAGCCGCCATCTTGTCTACGAAGGCTCATGAAGGACAAACTGCGGTGGCGGCATCAAAAACGGTTTTAGTTGTAATACTATAAATGTAATAGTTGTTGTCTGTTATTGTAGCTGGGATAATTTTACTTATTAAAGCTCATAATCTTACCACTTGAAACATCATTAGCCCTGAAGCTGCTGGTAGACATCGCGGTTGGAATTATCAAAGGTTTTTGACACCTGAGAGACACCGTAGCAACTCCTTTGCGTTTGGAAGTGAGGGGTGGGGGTGGGGGGAGGACCAGGGAGGATGACTCAACCACTCAACCACTAGATGTCACTGAAAACAACAAATCATACACACTTTGCCTGTAACGTCCAATATTGAATTCCCACTTTTTAGCTTTGTGTTTTGGGAGGGGAAATGGTTGGGCAGCATCTGTTTGATCATGACAGGGATATTGATGCAGCACAGCCAGGAATAACTGAAATAGGGAGCCATGTCGGAGGTTTGGTCGTTTATTTACGGTATCAAAAAAAGACCTAAGTGTGTTTGTGTAATATTAGTTATTGGCCATAACAGCAATAATTATATCGGCTTTCGATATCGGCTGAAATGTTCATATCTGTGCATTCCTAATCTAATGCAACACTCACAGAACTAGACGGGTTGTGAATGACTCTTAGCCGCCAGCACATGCATTTTCAGCACAATATGAGTATTTACTTGAATAAGACCACGTGGACTCCAATGCCGAGCATCATACCGATGACACAGTACATCGCCACCTGTAAGTTCCTCCTCTTCTGATGCTGCCTGTCCTCCTCGGTCATCTTTGGGCTCTGAGAGTGCCGAAACTGCTCCCAGTAACGACTGCTCTCCTGGGCATGAGGACTGATAGAAAGCAAACAAAATAATGACCACGATTGATGACCTTTAACGATGTGGGGTTGCGGGGGGAAGAGGGATCCAGTGATTGATGAGTATTCACCGTCCGTAGTTGCTGTGGTTGGAGGTCGATCTGAACGCCTGACCTCCACTGTACGGGCGGTGGAGCTTGAAGTCGTACTCCTTCCTGCTCAGCTCTTTGCTCAGTATTCTGTAGGCTTCATTCAGCTCCACAAACTGGCCATGCAGCGCCGGGTTTGACGGGTCGCTGTCCGGGTGCAGCTGCAATGCGAGCAGGCCAGAGCCAACGATGAGCTTCGTTGACTAAAAAAAGTTATTCTGGTGGAGACATGTGGTTATCTGGGCATGCTGCCTCCACCGGCACACAGAAATGTACACGCGTGGTTTGATTTCCAAACCAAACTTCTTTTTTTTTTTTCTAAAAAATGACTTGTCTTTCTCCTTAATTATAACAGAACCACAAAAAATACACATTTTTATCCTTATTTAGGCCCAGAATAAAAACAAACACTCCCACGGTGGGAACCGTGAGCAGGTCAGATTATAAAAGGCTGCCCTCTTGTGGTTGAATATTACGTTTAAATGCATTATTTTGTTTTTAAAACTGCAGTTTCTACCTTCTTAGATTTGTCAAAAAATGCATTCTTTATTTCGTCCGAAGTAGCATCTGTTTTCACTCCCAGCAGGTCGTAGTAGTTCGCAGCTTTTCTGTGGTGATAAAACAAATTACTCAAAACCAAACAAGTTTTAAACCTGCAGAGTACACAAACACGACCGCTTAGCAGTTTTCAGTGGTTATAACTGAACTCAACTCACAAATTTAAGTTAAATGAGTACCTACTTTTGTGCGTAGCTCCGGGACAGTATTTGCAGTCCACTCTTGTAGCATAAAATACAGCTCCTGCATAGTCGCAGTTGTGCCTCCAACTGCATGACGGTTTTTTTTCAAAGACTGACCTGCACAGTGAGGTAATATTTGAAATTTAGTTGATATATAGGAAGAAATGAGAATCATATGAACCGAAGAGCGAAATCCAGACTTTGTTGCATAATTTAGAAACAAATACTCAATTTACTTTCAGTGGAAGACCATAGCAGGATTTAATCGACTATAAAATTATTGCCCGTGGTCATCCCATTTAATGTTATTTTATCATTTTACAAAAAATGGCTATAATTCTGTCAAGGCGGGCATTAAGGATTCTTTAAAGCAATACTTTAAATTCAAAATCTGTTCAAAGAAGCTTTAAAGGATGAGCCATTTAGGTTTAGAGTACTCTCACAATGTGTAAGAATTGCCATCAAGTTAGAAATTAATTTAACTTTGACACTGAGCAAATTCTAGAATTAAGGATTGTGGCTTTCAAACAAGCAACAAACAAAAAAGAAAAACAAAAAACCCAAGACATGAAAATAACTGCAGATCTTCAGATTGTGAATGACTGGGTTCCAAGTCCATAAAATAATCTGTACTGACCAGTACATTTACATCAAATGAATAAGAAACTATTTATGCGAAAATGTAAATATTAAACATTTTTGTCTATGGCACTGAAAGTTCTTGAACTTATTAAACCATGTTCCTCATTTCAAACCAGGTATTTACTGACAAACTGAAAATTTTCAGCAAAAATAATAGTGTGCTTGAGATCCAGCTGTTTGTTATCACCTGTCACCAAGTTTCCATTGAAGAGGTGGACGTCAGCAGCACATCTGTCAGCAAATGACTGAAAAACACAACGTAAAATAAGGGGCAATGCAGTTACAAAACAAACAAAACAGTCATTCAAACACAACACAGCCTGTCAATCAAAGTATAACCAGAAAATGCATGTTTTTGAGTTGGACAAGTACATTAAAATCTAACTTCGACTTGTTAAATAAACATCTGACTAAACTTAGTTTTGAGTGTCGCACCAACAGTTAATACAATACGAGCTATTCACCCTTTATTACGTTAAAAACAACATCTGTCAAAGAAAGAAAACAAGACTTTGTAAGGACGCTTTGTTTAGATGCTAATGCTAACAGTTGAACTGAACCATCTAACAATTTCTGAGACTGTTAGCATCGTAAAAAAGTCTACATTATCTCCGGACACTCAAAGTGTGATCATTTAAACTACAAACATTTAGTATAAAGTAACACTTGAGGTAGAAAAGCTGACATACAAGACGAAATCAGTTTTGTAACAGAACGGTGCTCCATTGCGTCAAGCTAGCATCGATAGTTAGCATGTGCCAAACCATAACAAGACTTTATTTTTCAAAATAAAAGAAAGTTTATAATTTTAGAGCAATAATGTCCATAATTACAAAAAATAAAACGGTGCAAAATTATTTTATACAGCAACACAAAAAATGCATATAAAGAAAAGCATATTTACATTTTTATAGACCTAAAATATTTAAATATTTTTATTGTTTTTATTTTTGACCGGAAGATATTGAAGATTCTTCTCCGCTTGATGACATCTGAACACGCCCCTTTTAACCTTGTGTCTTTATGGCGAATTATTACAAAGAACATCTTATTACCAATACTCGTTCACTCACATAAACGACGTGTAATACAGTCTGTATTTCACGTGTTTTATTTTTCTTTTTTTCCTCCATAATGGATGAATGTGCGTGACAAAGAGGTACGTCATTGGTGCGTGAAACGTCATCTAAACTGCAGTTCTCCTTTTTGGCCACTGAGTGGTAATAATGAGCGCATTTCTACAGTAGAAATGACTGTAAAGAAGAAAGAGGAAGAAGCAATCCTGTTCTGTTGTAAAAGTGCTTTCGATCTCCACATCGTAAAAACGGTAAGAAAAGTTTTAGTTTTAAACCCTATTGTTTAGTTATAATAATTAAAAAACAATACAGATTGTTGCTTTAGGGCTTTATTGTTCGAGTAATTTCTTCTTCCTGGGTTTGCATATAAAGTAAGCTAAGTTACACGATTAAATCTTTTTGACCGGATTTCCTTCTTATGAAATTATAATTTTATCTCAGCACTTAGAAAATATGACAGTTCTACGTTTTAAGATGCAAATCAACCATAAACCGCTTTTTATAGCCCATCAGATTAAAGATTAACTAAATGCTTTACTTCTGTGATACTTGTTGTATCTCCTGCAGGACAGCTTATGGCTTTAATGTGTTACAGTTCATACAGTTAGTATTACATGGTCCATATATATGTATATACCCACCTCAACAAGATTATTTTTTTTTAGGTTCTACCCCTCAGAGCGTCAGGACCAGATGGAGACAAATGATCCACAGAGAAACATGATGGACCCGGAGGTGTCTGTGCTGCTGCACTGTACACACTGGAGGGGGCTGCTGGAGACTCAAGTACAAGTGGAGCTTTCTGAAAGGTATGTTTCTTCCAGTTTACACGAGGTTAGGATAGTGCTATTCACTTAATGCTGAATAAAGTTAGACTCACAAAAACAAAAGCGATTGTTGTTGTGTTGTTTCCTCCTTCAGATTCAACAGGCAGACAGATCTGCATCTGGAGCGTCACATAAACGAGGTTTGGGCCGAGCGGCTATCCAAGGAGCCGTGGCTTTTTAACGGCGCGAAATTCAGACTACATTCATTCAGCTTGGCCTCTCCAAAGCATCCACCTCACACTCAGTCCTTCCACGTCCCCCTCCTGCACGGCTCAGAGGACCGGTTGGGGCACGGCGATGCTCAGCACCGTGTGGACGTTAGGAACGGGTGTATAAATCAGACAGAAAGTGCTGAAGGCGTTGTTCAGAAGACAGTTGACATCCTGTCACAGGAACCGAAGAGCGCTGCAGCGGATCATCACTCGGACTCTGAGACCCTTCTGGTCCTGAGACTGGGCCTCACCTGCTACAAGGACTACCTGGGAACAAACTGGTCGTGTCAAGTGGCGGAGCTGCGTCGGCGTGGCGAGGAGGACTTTGACGAGCCTCTGGCGCTGCTGGCCCAGCCTCTCGGCGTGGGTGCCGTGCTGTGCACCGATGACGGTCAGGTGGTGCTGATCAGGAGGAGCCAGAAAGTGGCCGAGGCCGGCGGGCTCCTGGACATTCCCGGGGGTCACCCAGAGCCCAAGGTAAAGTGAATTAAAGCTGCGTTTTGTTAAAAAATAAATCAAATAAAGGGGCCCGGCGTGTTTCTTATCGACTCCTCTGCAGGTGGTGTGTGGGCGTTTGGGTCAGGAGGTGCGTGAGGAACAGATCAGCGTGGTCATGATGCAGCAGAGGCCCGATGCTGTCGTCTCGGAGCTGTTCTCCTCCGTGTGTGCAGAGATCAGGGACGAGGTGGGTCTGTCTGCAAAACTCAACGTTATATATGTAAATTAGGGGGGATGTAACGAGCTTTAACCTCGTTAAACAAGAATCACATTTTACTGTATGTGTGAAAATGAGCTGTACAGCTTAAAGTTTTCTTTTCACAGAAATCCATTATTTACAGGATGCTGCAGCCATTAGGATATTATTCATTTTGAGCAGTCAGGGGCTGCAGTCTTTTAGTCCTGAAGCTGCAGGTTCGAGCAGGAAAGGACGGGCGTTTGGAGTAAAACGGTTTATGCTTGTTAGCTCGCTGTGGTGACCCCTGTAGAAGAGAACAGCCGAAATAACAGAAATAATATTAAATCAAACCTAACCTGCTCTGTTTCCAGGTGAATATTCCTCTGAGCTCGCTGGGAGCCCCCGTCCTGATGGGCGTCGCTCTGAATCACACCAGCGCAGGAAGACCGAGCGCCGAGTTCTACGTCAGGTTTGTTAAGTTTGAACCCTCCGAACAAATGTCTACAGATTTCTTTTAAAGCAGAGCTTCTCTCAGGATGATTTTTTGTGACATACGAACGTCTATTTATCCCCGATTAGTTGTAACATTAGACTTTATGATAAACATATACTTTAACTGTAAAATAAAGACTGTAAAAATACAGTAGGATGTTCAGTTTTTATAATTTTTTAACTAAAAGTTTAAAAATATATTACATGAACGGGGCCATTTTATTTACATGCAAAGCATTCTGGGTAAATGATGACATCAACTAGGTCATCGGTGCGAGGCTGCTAGCAAGCTATATCCACCCTGAAGGTTAATCTTGGACAATACCTGATGATCGACTCTTTTAAATGAAACCAGAGAGCGTTGACAGAGAGGAGAAGATAGAAATGACTCAGCCTGAAACTGAAAATATAGATGGAGGACAACAGAGCTGCTTCATGAAAGAAGAACCTCAGCTTAGCCTGTTAGCTTTAGCGTTAGCCCTGACGCTATCACCATATACAGTATATGTATTAGCTCAGCGCTACACATTCTCCTCTCGTCACTGAGGTCCTCCATCCACATGACAGAGAGGGGAATGCAAAAATGACTCAGTCTGCAACTGAAAATATGGATGGAGGACCTCAGTTTAGCTTGTTTGTCGCGCTTGCACCAAGCTAATACATATAAGGCAATATAGCATGAGGGCTAGCGCAAAGGCTAACAGGCTAAGCTGAGTTTCTTCTTCCATGAAGCAGCTCTGTTGTCCTCCATCCATATTTTCAGTTCCAGGCTGAGTCATTTCTACCTTCTCCTCTCTGTCAACGCTCTCTGGTTTCATTTAAAAGAGCCGATCGTCAGATATCGTCCAAGATTAACCTTCAGGGTGGATATAGTTCGCTAGCAGCCTCACACCGATGACCTAGTTGATGTCATCATTTACCCAGAATGCTTTGCGTGTAAATAAAATGGGTCCGTCCGTGTTAAAATATATTTTAAAAAATTTACAAAACTAAACAGCCTACAGTATTTTTACAGTCTTTATTTTACAGTTAAAATGTTTATTAAATAAAGTTTAATGTTACAGCTAATTGTGGATCTCTTTAATGAGGAGATGAAAACATGTTTACTGATCCAAAATTTGATTAAAGTTTTATTTTAAACTTCAGAAAACCAGTGAAAACTGAATAAAGAAAGAACTGTTTTTTATTTAAACGTCATACTTAGATCATCATTTACTAATTATTTAAAAGTCAAACAATTTGAGTATAAAGCTTTATTGAACCAGACTACCTGATTAGAGTTGCCACACATATTACAATACTGTAATAAAGTGAAATTAGATCAACCTTCAGGTGTTTTCTGTGGTCTGATATATCATAAAAACTTCATAAATGACATTAAGTCACTTTTGTCTGTGCGTCTCAGCTGCTCACTGCGTTCTGACGAAGTGAGACATTTATACTGGGAGGGAGGCGCCGAGGCCAACGAGTCCACAGATGTGGTCTTCCTCAGCAGTGCGGTCAGTAGTTACTGCAGCTCGTCACCACAATGAGCCGGCCTCTCATTAAACCAACTGTAGAGTCGTCAACAGGAAGTGGTTAAATTGTGAAACGTGTCCTGGTTTGCAGGAGGTTCTGCAGATGAACAGAAGCAGCCCCCTCTGGTCGGAGATGTGTCCCTCGGCTAAAGGAGCCGTTCTTCTTTATCAGATGGTGAGACCGGACAGACCACATCGCAGAGTGGACACAAAGGATCAGCTCAACACAACGTGTCCAAGTTAGCTTTATTCACTTTGGCGATAGTGTTAAAACTGCAAAAAATACTGTAATTTTAGTCATATTTGTACTGTGTACAAAACTAATTTAAATGTATCAAAATACTTTGAATACAAATATTCTTAAAATTATGTTTTGTCAATGAAATGACAAATCTTTGAATGTCAACGCAGAAAATGATTAAAAACTTGCTGATATTTGATTTTTGACAACATTATTATTATTATTATCATCATCCTCGGCAGCAGCTTCTGGTTTTCAGGTTTCTTCATCAGTAACTGTAAGCAGAGTTTTTGTTGTTCCACTGAAATGACATAAAAAGAAGAACGGCGATGAGTGAAATCAACAATGAAGGGCTTTGACTTGGACTAAAATAAGCAGCCGAGGTTTAAGAAGAAGTTCAAGAACAACTCTGTACCAAAAGAGACTCTAATTTTCAAACACGTATGTTTTATTTAAACTAGTCTGTTTACCTTTTTATTCTAAACCAAAATAACCTAGAGAGACTGGATTTTATAATCAGAAATAAATGTTTTCAAGCTGTCTTATTGTTTTTAAATGTAATCAAAGCATGGTAAGTTATTATAAAATAGCAGCTTTTCTCATCTTTATTTTTATTCAGTTTTAGGTCACAGATAATGAATCTGTACTTGTAAAAACACAGAGTACCACCTTCAGAAAGAGGTTTAGAATAAGATTAAACTGCTGCTGAAATAATGAATAAAGTACGCACCCCCCTAACAGAAAATGTGGATCATTCTGTGTCAAAACACCCAAAAAAAAAAAAAATTAAAATTTTAACCCGAACTGCTCAGATTTTGATGAAAATTGGCATTTTTGTCAATCGTGATCCCCTCAGCACAGTATCTCTAAAATAAGGGTGTAAATTTCAGGAACGTTCAGTCTAATATAACCAGTGGAATCATATTAGGCCACTCTGAGAATGTTTTTATAAATCAGGTTAATCTATAGCCAATATGAGATTTTTAAGAAGAAATTTAGAAAAATTATTCATTTAAAAAACAACAAATTCTATATACAATAAAAAATATAAATCACAAACAAAATTAAAGGAAAAACAACCTTGTATCTGCCTGAGTTCATGCAAAGAGAGACTTTACATATTCATGTAATCATGTACATTTATCACACATTTTATATTGCCACTTTGAAACATTTCCCTCCTTTAGATATCAAATGGGGCGGGGGCTGGGACCTCATGGTCATGTGATCCACATGTTCAATTTCAAGGTTGTAGGAAAGATCAAATGTTTAATAGACCCCAACATGTTCAATCAAAAACTCAAATTACTTTTCTTATGATACAAGATTTGTGAAAATTAGCCCGGTAGTTGTGAGATAATTGGGGTTAGTAGGCAGATGTGCCCAATTTGGCAGAAAATCAGAAATTTTGAGGGCCCATTTCTCTGGAACTACTGGTCTGATTGACTCAAAATTTGAGATACTGTGTGTGGTCGGGTTAAAACCACGGGGTGATTTGGTGTGGAATGACCCATGTTGCACAGAGGACCGTTATAAACTTATAGTACTCACATATCCTGGCTGCTGGCTCCATGTTTGCTCGTCGGCTCCTCCATCGTTCCAACCTTCAAAGACAAAAACACCAGTAAATAAATAACCTCTAACTGTAACGTCTACTAAAACATTATCTATCGTTTCTCACATTGACCATAAGGCCCGGTCCACTGAGTCCTGTGTGAGGGTGGGGGGAGGTGAAGGGGATGTCTTTTCTTGTAAAATCGTGGCTTCTTTCTCTCTCGTCGGGGGACAGGGGGCAGCAGTCTGCGAGCTTCGTCCTGGTACTCCTTCAGGAGCGCTTGTGCTTGTCCCTGTGGCAGTTCAACAAACTGCAGCTCCTCCAGCAGGTCGGCTTGTTCCTCTGGAAGACTGCAACTAACTGCGGAAGAGAAAATACATGTTTTTATTGTAGCGGTGTTTTAAGGCTCATACAGGGAAACATTTTTACACGCTGCCTATCTTTCAGCCACTCTCGTGTTTCCTTTAAAAAGTGAAGAACCTTGGAGTTTGAGCAGAGCCGTCTCAGGGACGTGCTCCCCGTTTTTCGTTCGGTGCTCGAGCAGTCGTCTTCTCCACTCGTCTGCTGCAGGGAAGACCACCACAGCTCGGCGCCTGAAGCCTGCGAACAGCTGCAGCTTGTGACGGCGTGCGGAGAAAAGGACGTTGCACTGGGAACAGAGAGGGGTGGGGTAAACGTCTGTATCCGCAAACGACGACCGTGAAACTTTGCGCAGACGCGTTCCACAAATTCGCGTCACTTTGGGGTCGAACAGACTTTTATTTTGGAGGAGTTACCTGATCGAGGATGTAGTTTCCAGGAGTTTCTGCTGCCATCTTGATCAGTTCGGTCAGACACTGAGAAGCCTGCTGCAGCCTGTTTTCTCTGTGACCACCACTCTAAACACACACACATCAGATCAGCTGATCATCATCATCATCATCATCATCATCTGAACCTGTAACATAAGAAAAGCTGAAGGTTTGACTGACAATCATACATGCCAGCAGCTCCTCTGTTCCCAGCAGTTTGTACTTCTTCTCTGGATGTTTCTGCACGTGGGTTCGGACCCAGTGGCTTTTCCCAGAACCAGGAAGTCCCACCATCATCACCACCTGGAGGGACAGAAAGATGAAATGAAATGTTACTGTGCAACTCGGCTCTGAATGTGTTAAATCTGAATTTAGACTGAATTCATTTTTAGACAAACTATTTTTAGAGACAACTGTTGGCTTCTACGTGGACATATCATGTTTTTAAATCCTTTTTTCACATTTAAACCATTCAGTTGGGGGCTATATAAAGTGGAACTGCAACGCTTTGGTCTGAATTCCTCCTCATTGTAACTCCACAAGCCCCTCTTTCACCCCTGTTCTGAGGTGCGACTCCAAATACACAACAAATGGAATTTAACAGCTAAAAAAGTGTTTTTTGTACGATATGTCCCCCTTAAAGTAGTACTAAGAAACGTATATGACCTTTTTTTCTGGATCTACATAAACCGAAGTTCTGAGTAAGCCAAGCAAATCCAAGTCTCAAGTCTTTTTTTTTTTTCAAATCTAAGTCTCAAGTGTTTTTTTGTTTGTTTGTCTTTTGCAAATACAAGACTCAAGTGGTTATTTTTTTGCAAATTCAAGTATCAAGTGGTTTTTTTTCTTTTTGCAAATCCAAGTCTCGAGTCTTAACACCATAAATTGTAGACTGATCAAAGACACTTGTAAAGAAAACATCCCTGCAGCAGTGCACACAACAACTAACTAGCCCTGCCCTGGTCAAAAACATGTTGTTTGCAATGAAAATTAAAACAGAAAGTAGAACAAAACTGAAACAAACAAACAAACAAAAAACTTCTGGTAATTCATCAAACTGACTTTTATCATCCAGAACAAACCAAATTAAAAATCTACCAACCGGTTTCCCAAACAGCCTCTCACCTCACTCTGTGCTCTGGAGGCAGGAGCTGATGAGGAGCAAACTCTTTGCCCGGCAGGGAGCGCTGCCAGCGGAGTAAACCCCAGTGGGCCGGGGTACCACTGAGGAGCTGCAGGATCCAGCAGCAACTGGACCGAGCAGCTCTTACAGAGGACGTGAGGGAACAGGGGATGACCCAGCAGCACAGGGGCGTCCAGGTAAAAGGCAACACCCATGACGCGACCGTTCTTCTGGAAAAAGAGCTCAGCAGCACCATCGTTTGAAAACGACTGGTACAAACATGGATACGGAAGAAAAAGAAATGAGTCCAGCACCATTTAGACTTGAGCTTCAGAATATATTTATACTTACAGCGTAACAGCCAATAATGTCTCCTTCAGAGAAAGGTTCGCCATACTCCTCTTCTTTTCCACCACAAACTTTTTTACCGCGCCCATCATAAGCAAAAGATAGTTCATCTTCACCTGATATGAAGCCCGGTATAACTCAGTTAAAGGCCGTGCAACAAACACACAAGCGTTTTCAGTAAACCCAGTCCTTACCCAGCAGCAGAGAGGTGTCAACCACGGACCAGCCCGCTCTCAGTCCATACGGCTCTCTGACCTCCTGGTCTTCTGCCTCTACACTCAACAACTTCCTGTCCAGCCTGACCTCAAAGCCCACCCGGCCCTGCTGCACGCCGTGGCTGAGCCTGCAGCCAGACCACAGCGAGGGGAACCGGTCCCAGAATCGTGGCTGCCCACAGGATCCATCCGGACCCACCTCAAAGTGGAGGTGACAACCATCTGAGGAAAGCAGACAAAGTTGCTAAACTTTTCTAATAAAAACATTAGAGAATAATATTTATTACATACCAAAACAACTTATAAAAGTCTTAAAACTCACATGTGTCTAATCGAACTTTATCTACATCACGGACCTCTGCATCTTCCTTCTCCGAGGGGGGCTGAGGTGATTTGGCTCTGGTTGAGGAAAAAAGAGACTCTTATTAAAGATCCTCATAAGAAGTTACTGATTAGAACTGTTGTCAGTAAAAACATAAGAAACACATCAGATGAGTGACAGAAATGATGTTCTTTAGGATTTAACGTGCAGATTTAAGCTTAGAAGCAGGTTTTTGCACTAATAGAAATAAGCTAAGATTATTTATAAATCACAGTAAGGTAGTCAGCAACTGTCCTTCATTTAGTCTTAGAAGTAATTATAAATTATTCCTTATATTTACAAAAATGTTACCAACAAAATATGCTTCAATTACAACTATTTAGAAATATTTTTCTTTAGTCATTTTATATAAAATAAACGACACTGAACCACAGTCAGTAATGGGTCGTAAATAAGCCAAACATAAATTGTCTATAAATAAATAACCGGCTATGATGTTAGTGAAGCAAATTGTTTATTACAGTGGACAGTCATGTTAACACAGGTCTATATTTGTGTGTTTATTATTTGTAACCTGCTCTTTTCATTTAGAACCTACCTTTTATATCGTATCTCCTCTTTAAACTCATAGAAAGCTCTTCCTCTGCTAATATTCTCTGAAGTAATACTTTCTGTAGGTCCCAGCCCTCCTTCGTCTGTCTGGCAAACGAGCTCAGGCGTTGAAAAACACTGAGAACCAGGCTGTACTGCTGACGGTTCTGGTTCTGTTTGAGTGGACGTGTTTGTGTACTGTCTGACAGGGTCTACTTCACAGCGCGCAGTAACACCATGACTCACTGACTGGGGTTCGACGGTCTGCTCCGGTACTGACGGTGTCAGCGCGCTCTCGTTTGCTTGTTTCGTCTCCTCTAAAATTCCCGAACCCTGTCTCGCTTGCGATGCAGACCACAGTCTGTCCACCAGCTCAGCCTTCAGCCCTCTGGGGTCCAAACCGAGTGCTGTGAGTGTGGACCTCAGCTCCTTCACTTTTAACTTCTTAATGTCTGTTAGCTTCATTTTATCGCACGAAAGTTAAGTTAACCGTAGCAAATGTTCAAGTTCGTCCTCAAAAAAGCAAAATCAAAGTCAACAAAAAAGCTGAGAAAGTGAGAGAAATCTCAAAACAAGGTTCACTATGAAGCCGTGGACTCTGATTGGCTCTTTGGTTCTTCTTCTTCCTCTTTCAGGCTGATTAGATCGTTAAACGGATCTTTACTGACACCTAAAGACAAGATTAGGTACTACACTCTGCTGTTCGCGTTTGGCTTCATCAAAAATACAGTGAGCAGCTTTTGACTCTGAAAAAACAAAAAAGTTATTACAAATTTAAAAAGCATCATCATTTCTAGTTTTAATCAGGAATAAACACGGATTTAGAAATCATACTGCTGTATCCTATATTTACTGTTTTATTAATAAACTTTTGTTAACAAAAAACTTGTAATATTTTGATTACTGTCTAAAATATTTTTTGAAAAAAATAATGAAGCTAGTCATGAAACATGACTTATTTTATGTCATGAACCCTGTTTTAATACTTTTTACAAGTTTTGTAAGGAAAATTTGCTTGCAACAAGGACAAACTAATTGATTCACTTCAAGTAGGGTTTTTTTTTTCACATTTTCAGCAAAGCCCTAGTTACCTGTCACAAGGTAGTTTGTCTGTTTTACTGTAAATTGAATATACTGTTAAAATTATCTTTTTTATATCAAGTAACACAAATAATTGACAAAATAAGTTAGCTGCAACACTATTAAATCAGATTCGGGCATGTTTAAGTTACAACAAACTTTATTAACTCTGGAAGTGCTTTATTTAACAATAATGAAATACAAATGGAAAACACATGATGGATAACATAGGTAAAAGCAAAACCACATATGGTTAAAATCCAAAAACACTTCATATAATTCAAGTAATAAGAACCACATGTTCCCTGTATTTCAGATTTCCAGCTCTGCTGTTCCAGTTTCATTTCAGCTGCTCCGGTCCCAGTTAGAAACTTCTTTCCTTTTCATCGACAGAACTCTCTCTGTGCGATCAGGAAAGCTTACCTTCTGGTTAAACTGAGGCTCTGACTGACCCCACAGAGAGCAGCTGCATCCGCACAAACAGCATCATAATAAAAATCGTCACAAGAGCAGAGAAGGTCAGCTGTGCGTTGTTCCTTTTTCAACCCCCCCATGTACACAACACAACAGAACATTCAGGTCCCGCTCACACAGTGAGCCTGGTTCATGAACGTGGTGGCTCAGTCGCACTCAAGCCACAACAAAAGCACTACTGAAGCACCTCAGTGCTTCACCTCAATATATACAACCAGAAAATAAATGTTTTTCATCTTCTTGATAACAAGGACAAATGTAAACAATCATGCATCTTAAATATATGACCAGATTGGATTTAAATACTCACATTGCTTACAGTGCTGTCAGTCACATGAATAAAATATGTATAAATAAAAACAACTGAATAAAATATGTATAAATAAAAACTGAATAAAATATGTATAAATAAAAACTGAATAAAATATGTATAAATAAAAACTGAATAAAATATGTATAAATAAAAACTGAATAAAATATGTATAAATAAAAACAATTTACAAAATTATAGTGAAATAGCAAAAGCTTTTGGATAACACTGGCTATTAGAATATTAGATATTTCAGAGTATCTGATGCATGTTTCTGTTTTATTTTGTTAAATCCCTTTTTTTCCCTCAGATATCAACGATTTTTGTTTCATTCATGTTAAGACTTTACTTTTTATTCTAGAAACAAGTCCTGAAGTCTGATTTCTGTCACATTTTATGTTTAACATTGCCTGGGGCCTGAGATCAAATTATTCTTTCTTTGAGAACAATAACTGTATCTATGTAAAAACACAAGCGTCAAACTTGTTCAGTTCAGACTAATTAATGACAACACAACCTCCAACATCTTTGGTGTTTCTGACTTTAAGCTTTAGAATCTAACAAATCATAAATACGAGTTACTGATCGGGCTTTGCTAAATGGGAAGTTCTGAATATTTAAAAACAATGGGAAGTGGATTCTATCTGAGGTCAAAGTGAACAAAATGAGGTTTGAAGTGAACTAATGAGGAGTTGTATCTCTACCTCTCACTCTAATTCAGACTAAGATGGTTGGAGTTTCCGGAGGATGAGGAGGCGAAGCAGAGCCGCAGTCAGACAAGGAGCTGCCTCCTAGCAGCAGCTCCTTGTCTCGGTGCAGACACGGTCCGGTCATGTGCTGGTTGTGAGAGTGGTAGAGCCGCAGGAAGGCCAGGACGGACTGAGCGAGCCACAGAGCCGTCACGCACCACAGAGACGCCTGAGGACACAAGAAACCGAGAACCGACGCTGACACACAAAACTGGGAACCAACTCAACTGAGGGATGAGAAGGATGGGATCAAAATCCCCTTGAATGGTAAAGAACGTGAACACAACATGCCAGCATCATGTTTTCTACTGTAGGTGGGTTCATTCACCTGAGCCAGACTGAGATCTGTGAAGAAAGTGGAGGTGTTGACATCGAGGTAAAGTGGGACCGACTGAGACTCTGCACAGCTGGAAACAAACAAGAAAGAAGGGATGATAAAAAGATCCAGAAACAAAGTGAAAATATGTTACTCCTGCCTGCAGCACTGACAGAACTGTTCAGAACCCAAGGATGGACAACTGGCGGCCTGCGGGCCACATCCAGCCCACAGGTGACTTTTTTTAAAAACATTTTTTACTTTAAAAAAACACTTAACGCAGCTTTTACATTTACATTTGAAAATTACTAAAATGTATAAAAGAAGACTGGACTGTTGGAATTCCATTATTTTTCATATTTCAAATAAAAATCTAAAAATCTTCAAAAAGTGCAGCACGTCTTCTGACAAAAAAAAAAAAAAAAGACCATATCACACCAGCTCTGCCTTCTCTTCACTGACTTCCTGTCCCTGCCAAAACCCAGTACAAGATTGGTCTTCTGACATTCCAGTGCATACATGGCAATGCACCCCCCCCCCCACCTTAAAGAACTGCTCCTTCCACACAATAAAACTCGTTCTCTCCATTCTGGTAACTCCTGCCCTCTCCAAATCCCCAGAACAAAGCTCAGCACAGTGGGGGACCAAGCTTTCTGCAATATTGCTCCACGTCTGTGGAATTCACTCCCAGATCATTTAAGGGAAGCACAGACTGCAGAATCCTTAAAAAAAAAACAACTAAAAACCTACCTGTTTTGAACCTTCTATGACCATGTTTGATTTTTTTTTTTGTAGCACTTTGGGATTCTTGAATGTAAAGTGCCCTAAAAATCAAATTAATAATAATAATAATAATAATAATAAAACTGTCTCTGTGGCAATAACAAAGTTTGCCACTAGAGGGCGCATCCAATACAGAGGTCTTCTCTACCAGTGCAGAAGATTTACATAATGTTTACAGAAAGATAAAATCTCATGTTTTGGGTGAAATGGAAGGCAGACTAACTGTTCACAGAATTTCAAATCAAACCTGTATTTAGTCTGCTTAGAGACGCTGTCGGCCATTAAGGATTTTAATATAAGTCGCCAGTTCAACACGTTGCACAAAGCTAAATATGCAAAGTTTACTGAAGTCACAAGTACAAAAACAGTGACTTTTTTCAGGAACCACAGCTCACTAAAGTAGGCTTACATTTATTTGCTTCAAATGTGTGTATACATGTTTATTAGACAAGAGTAAAAATGTTACACATGCATGAAATATGTAAAGTTATTTCACTGTAGCCTATGTAGGTTTAATTTACATATGTACATACAAACATTTTTAAAAATAGCAGTTTTATTACATTTAGGTAAGTTAGTGCTGTGTGGCCTAGCTTCTAGTAGTGTCAACTAAAAATGTGGCCCCTTCTGTCATTTAAGTTGTCCATCCCTGCTGAAACTCCTAAACAAACCACAAACAATGAGTCAAACCCACTGCAACACAGGTGATGGATGTACCTGTAGGGCCGCGTGTTGTCGTCCGTCACAGTGTCACACCAGGAACTGAATCCAAGAGACAAAATAACGCTGGCCCCTCCGGACAGGAAGAGGACGCACACACTCATCAGGACAGTGAGGAAGGATGAAAACAGGGTGCTGCATGGAGAAACACAACATGCAACCATTACACACATTATGCATATTGTAAGAACAGTGGTTATTAAGCAAATATGAACATTTTAAAACTGCCATTCAAATATTGCCTATGGAGCAAAGCTTAAATAACAGCATTATGTATATGTAATGCTCTGTTAAAACTGTAAAAACAATACATCATAGCAAAATTGATATTCAGTGTGAATGTATAAATCATCCAAGCTTTAATGTTTTATACTGTTAGATGCAAAGCTTTTTTTTATTTTATTTGAATATATGTTCGCATACTGCAAACTAATTGTAGCATGTTATGTCATTATTATAAATGCATGATCTAAGTGTTGAGATTGGGGATAATTTTGTGTGTGTGTGTGTGTGTGTGTGTGTGTGTGAGCATGTAAAAACTCTGGTGCATAGCAAATTCTTACAGCTTAAGATTAAGTCACTAAATCCCATCTTAGTACTTATAAATTGGTGTGTGTGTGTG